GGGGACACGGGGACATGTCTGGTGACACCAAGCAATGGCCTTGGAGACTGAGGGCGCTGGGTCCCCTCCAGAGTGGGACAGGGACACAGGGAGCAGGGCTGTAGGGAGGAACACTGGGCGCAGGATGGGGGCAGGGACATCGGGAGCAGGGCTGGGGCTCACCCCACTGTGAGCTCGTTGCTCTAGGCACTGTGTCCCCCTGGGGATGGGACAAACGGGGAGACCTAGTGTCGCTCCTTGCTGATGACTCCGCTGTGGATGAAGGTATTTGCCCCCTTGGCCAGTCGCAGTGCTGAGCCTCAATGAACTCATGCCAAGCATGGAGCCCCCTGCACCCACTGTCCTGGCCAGCAGTTCTGCATGCTGCTGTGCCTCAGTTTACCTTTGCCATTGCACCAAGCCAGTGCACCCTCTGGGGCCCCCTGCAGCCCCTCTGTTGGCAGGGGGGAAATTCCAGCCACTGGGAAGGGGCCGGGGCCAGGGTCAGGGTCCAGATGCACAGAGCCCATGTTCCCAGGGAAGAGCCGTTTTCATGGAAAATTCCCAGCCTGTATGCACAGGGTCGGGTTTTCAACTGTGAGATCGGGCCTGCTGCAGGTCAGCGTTTTCCAGCTGCTGGGAACAGCGTGAGAACTGGATCCTTCCCACGCCTGCCTGGGCTGCATCCTGCTCCCCTCCTGTGGGGAAAGCCAGAGTGTGCTCAAGATCCATAGGGACCCGTCGGGCATCACAGCCCCATGGTTCTGCTCTCTGGAGGGCAGGGGTGACCAGCACTGATGCCCATGGTGTACGGGTGTCCCCACAGGATCCTCCATCCAGCCCTGTTATCCATCCCTGGAGAGCCCAGGGTTGGGATCAGAGCCATCCCAGGATGATGATGGACATCCCCTTCCTGGGACACAACCCCTTGCCATGATGGGACAGGGCAGCTGAGTGCTTGGCTCCCGAGCCAGGGTCACATCCCTCGAGCACCGGGACGTGCAGTGCAGCACTGAGCGCTGATAGCCCCGCAGGCACTGATCCTGCTGCAGCACCAGCAACTTGGAGCGTGCACGGCCCAGGAGATGCCTGGCCTGGTTCCCAGGGGCCTAGTTTGGTGCTGAGCCGTGCTGGGAGGTGCCAAGCACCGAAGGGAGGCTGTGGGAAGGTTGGCTGGGGGTGTAAGGCTGGTCTTACTTGAACCCTGCTGTGAGCAGGGAAGAGGGGAAGGCGGTGCCAGGTCAGATGCAGGAGGCGATGGGGAACCTCCCAGAGCTGCCCATCAGGAAAGGCCGAGCCCGGAGAGAAGGCTGGAGTCCCCAGCCGTTTGCACCCTCCGGCCAGGCGGATGGGACGGGCAGTACACACAGCCAGGCTTTTGCCTGCTGGCAGCACAGGAAATCCTTCCCCTCCTCAGTTTTCAAGTCCTGCTTGCAAGCAGTGGCCCTGAATTATCCTCACAATATCCAGTTTCCACAGACCCGGCAGGCCACAGGACGGCGGGACACTTTCCTGAGGCTGCTTCCTGTGTGCCGTGTCTATGTCAGACAAGTGCCTCCCAGTTTCCACCAGCAGCTTGGGGGTGTCCCTGGCTTTACCTTCTGCTCGCAGGGTGCTGCATGCCCCCATCCCCCAAGCCATCTGAGCCCCTCCGAGGATGGGGATGCTCTGGGACAGGTTCCCAGAAGTGAGTCTGAGCTCGGACTAGGCTGCTATGGCCACATTCAGCACAGACGCATCAGGGTGTGCCCAGACAAGGCTCACTCTGGGGAGGCAGCCGTGCCAGCAGAGCGGGTGTAAATGCCGCCGCGTGATGTAAACCAGCCCTACTTTCACAGCACACGCTGAGGAGTGAAACGGGGCCGAACCTGGAGGCAGAGCAGGGCAGGGGAGGCGAGAGAGAGCACTAGAAAGCTCTGAAGCAGCAGCAGCTGATGAGATTAGCCCCAAGGCCTAGTGAGAAAGGAAGAAAATCTTTGTGCGGCACAGGATTGTCCCGGGCAGGCTGGTCAGTGAGCTGCTGCGGGCAGGAGCGGGATGGCTGGGGGACATGGAGCCCTTGGGGTAGGACAGCACTGTGGACAGAGGGAAGTGGAAGTGTGTGCTCCAAGCCCCAGTGAAGGCAGAGCATCTCCCAGTGCTGCCTCCTCGGCACAATCGGACTGAGCCCTGCGCAGAAGTTCGCATTAAACGTTTACAAGGGTTCAAAAAGGTGTACAAAAAAGGTAAAAGCCATGCTTGCCTCTCCTCCTGGGGAGGCTGGTACAACTGCTCTCCCCACAGCATCCCTCCCATCCTTAGCTGCCCAAAGATGTGCTGTGCCCGAGGCAGAACACTGCCAGCACCAGGAGGTTAGCAGAAAGCTCAGATGCTTGATGCCCGCTTACACTCAGTCCTCAGTAATCCTGACATTATATTCAGGCTGCTCTGCTGCAGCCAGGGATAACCCGTGTGCCTGGGGAGAAATATCCACAGGGAAAATCTCCTCCCTGGAAGCCACAATGGCTGAAGACCAGTAATACAAAAAGCATCAGCACCCGGGGCTGCTCCCTGTACAGGGCAGGCCCTGCATGCCCAGTCCAGGAGTGCCCAGGGAGCGCCTACAGCCAAAGAGCAACCTGAGGAGTGGTTCCCTGTGTGCCCCGGAGCCAGGGCTCGGCAAGCGGGGGTGGGGAAGGGCGGACAGACGCCAGCCAGGACTCAGGTCAGCCCTCACGCCGCAGCAGCATGGTCACATGGGGTAGTTGAGAACGACATCTTGCTTGGCCAGCTCCAGCAACATGGGGTCATCAAAGAACTTGCTGATGCTCACGTCCTCGCTCAAGCCCTGCAGGGTAACCGCAAAACCCGAGGTTATTCCTCTGCAGCACTCGTACAGCCATCACGGCAGAGATCCACAAAAGAGCCCTGGTGTCCCGCAGTAAGACAGATTTTCAGGCTCCAGAGGAGGCAGGAGAATTTGCAAAGGATTAGGCATTGCTCAGTGGTTTGAAGACATCTAACAGTCCCTCAGGAAGCTGCAAGTGTGTGCTTGCTGCTGCTGAGCATCTACCAGCTCACTGCCCTCCCAAAGGGGAGCTTGAATCCTCTCTCCCTCTGCAGTCCCAGCTGCCCCTCCAACCCCACAGTCCAGCTCACTAAACCAGCACAGAAACCAGCTGCTGCTTTTTCTGCAGGACAAATGGACCACCTCGGGCCACCAAGGGGCCAGATGGAGTGGGGCTCAGCAGATGCTGCAGGGCCCCACTTTTGGCTGGAGCTAATACCAGATGAGTCACTCGTCGGTCCATCACAGGCACCGGGAGCACCACAGGCACCAATGGGCAGCATGAGGAATCAAGAGTGAGGGAAGTCCTGGAGCACAAAGAACATCGGTCCACTCTGGGAACACAGGGAGGACGTGGCATGCCCAAGGGACAGCACTGCAACAGCTCAGCTGCTGGTAGAGATGGACAGAGGAACACTATAGGGACCACTCCCACACATACCTTCCTACGCCTGGTCTTGATCATGAACTCTCTGGCCAGATGTGGGGCTGGCTGGGGCTCCAGAGGTCGGATGACGATGCTCTTGTCCAAGGGGTCACCAGGCACAATCTGAAACACAGGGTCAGGATGTGAGAGTGATGTTGGGGGCTGGTTCCATCTCCTGGAGAGTCTGAACTTCAATGAGAAACACCCCCGTGCCCTGTGGGCAGCCTTGGTGTGACAGCCCCAACACCCCATCTGTCCTCCTGGCCAAGGAAGACTCACATCACTACTGGTGATCATTCCTGTGAGAAGCCACTAACACAGTGTTGATAATCCAAGCCAAGAACACGTCTTTTGTCCAAAACCCTGTTTACCACAGGTTTGAAAAGCCTTCTCCAAGAGGCAAAGCCAAAGCATGGCAACCCATGTCTTCCAACAGACCAACAAGCCCATGCCCTGCGTGATGTCCTCCGCACCCAAACAGCTTTTCTTCTCCTGGAGATGTCCTCTCTCCAGGCAGTGAAGGATCCTTATGCTCAGCAAGAAGCAGCATCCAGAGCTCCCTCGCCAGGGCCAAGGGTGATGGGACTTGGAACAAAGACATTGGCTTCTGGCAGACACCTAACAACGTGCAAAGCCTCCCCAACTGGAGATCCTCAGAGGATGTTCTCCAGGGAAGTTGTCCTGCCCTGCATGAGCCATGGCACAGAGCTCTTCTGGGAGCACTGACGTAGTGCTTGATACTACCACGTCCCTCCTCCCCTCTCCCTGGGCATGACCTCACCTGCCAGTGGTGGAAGACAGAGAGTGAGAAGGCTTGTCCCTGCGTATGGGTCCGCAAGTCTGTCTCAAACCCAAAAGAATCAATGGCTGGGATAAAGGCTTTGATGGTGTAGAGAGGGGAGCCCGGGATCGGAGCATCTTGCGTGACGTGGCCTCTGCCAATACATCAAAAGGTTAGTTTTCCTACGTGTCCCTTATACATTCTTCTCTCTGACACTCAGGAAGAACCAGGCACAAACTAAAGGCTGCATGTGATGCTGGATGTCCCCTCCCTGCATAGGGCTGGATCAGTCAAGGAAGCTTTTAGCTGTCGCTTCATGCAGATTTCACCCTCTCCCCTCACTTTACACGCAGCGCTAGG